AAATGTTTAGTAATAAGTTACATACTAATTTTCCATAAATTTTCGTGACCTGAAAAATATTTTATTTTATGTATAAACATTTTGTAATATAAATAATCTTAATAATCGTGCGATTGAAATTAATATGCTTACAACTTTTTTTTTTAATTTCGTATAAATATTTAACCGAAATATTTAACCACCGATAAAAAATTGCTGACGAATTTGTTTTGTGACGAATTATGCCTTCCCGACCCTAATTACGACACTTTTCTGCGTATCCAACGCACTTCCGGGTTCTTACTGCTTTTAGTATTAATTATTATGATGGTGAAATAACTCAACAAAGCTGTTAGGGATGTTGGCTCCCAACGAGCAATTGTGTGAAAGTTAGTGTTTTGAAATTTGTGGATGGTTTGTGAAGGTAGAAACTGAACGGCAGAGTTTCTGTGCGGATAGCGAGACTGCACAGAAGTGTGTATGAATGGAGTTTCTGTGCGGATGGCGAGATTGCACAGAAGTGTGTATGTGGAGTTTCTGTGCAGTGTAATGATGCGGCACAGAAATGGATCTGTCCAAAATGTAAGAATGGACAGATTGTGAATGAGGCAACTTGAGACGATAGGAGATTAATTGAATTAGTCTAAAACACGCTAAATTGAAATACATTTACATTTCTGAACAAAAGCATTTGACAACTCCCGAGATATCTTAAAATGAGTTCGACGCAACGACACACTTTTACAATTACTAAACTCCTTATTTATTCCCACTCAAACCCCCAATTAACGTGACGAAGTGCTTTGGAGGAGACAAGATCTGACGAGCCCTGCTTTGACTACTGAGAATAATGACTTGATAAGTTTGACCAGAACTACTACTAGAAATCTTGCCTCAGCTGAGAAAAGTAAACAAACCTGCCCTTTTCTGATATAATTTCCCCAAACAACGAGAAACCCCCACTCTAATATACTACCTATCTGTATTGAGGGTGGACAACCAACCAACAACACATAACCAAGACCGGACAACCAGATCTCGTACTACTACTTACGCTACCGCTGCTGACTTGATGGTTGCAGGCTCCCTCGCTGCTTGGCAACCCTCGATCTGGTCACTCCGCACGACTACTCGCAGCGAATTCCCAACTCGAGGCTACTCCTTTGTAACACCCCGAGCCTAACTAATTACAACTTTACACATAAAATTACTAGCTATCCTACTAATTAACTATACGATATTTTTATTACTACTTGCTATTACTATTTACTTACTAATTATGCATTAACATCCTTCAAAATATAACTAGCACGCACACACTGAGGCATCAACTTATATACATATATCACAGTTTAATGAAAAGCAATTATTAGATTTTGTAAATTGACGATGATAAGTAAACTGATTAGAAGCTGAATTACATATTGAATAGAATTGCGATTTTACAATAATACTGATTTCTCAATCTTTAAGATTTCCTGGACCTAGTGCAGCATTTGGTTTCTGTATTTAACAAGCCAGACGAACTTCAAGTCAAAACACTGGATAAGGAAAGATTTAGGAAATCAACAGATTTATTTATTTACAAACTGCAGACCTCGTTTAGGTCGTTTTATTTTTCAAGGTTTCACAAGTAAGTAAGCCTTATTTATTGTGTGGGTGGTGCTTAAATAGCACTTTGTGTATGGACTTATTCATAGGTTTTTGTTTGCTAATAAATAAATGAAACATGAATCTCAATGAAGTATGTGCACATGCAGATCGTCTGTGATGGTGACACACGCTCATAAAACTAACTTAACATACATAATGTTTGTTTTATGTATGTCCAAATTTCGAAATGGCATTCTGAGTCAAAACACTGGATGAGGAAAGCTTCAAGAAATCTGCACATTTCGTTCCATTCATTTTATGAATAAAACTATGAATAAAATGCATCAAATAGTTCATTTGAAATTATAAATTCAAATTGCAATTGAAAATACCATAAAAATATTGTATAATTACAATATCTATGAATTATTTATCAATTTGACCTATCGCATTGCAACACAGGTTCAGATATTATTTTCTGCATAATATTTACCTCGACTCAAAACTTGTGCACTAAATATTGCAATGCAAATAAAATTGCACTTATCGTTAAAACGACTTCGCAATAATTTGAGTTGAATTGATTATCCAAATTTCTTCTAGTCACGAGGCAATAAAGATTAAGTTGTGGTTTATTTATGCGAGTCTTGAGATGATGAAGGATGTCGCAATGGCTAAATTTGTCCAGAATATGGAATAATAAAAACACTGTCGAAAGTGTATATTATCATATCGTCATTTCACTTATTTTTGATAAGGTAAGCATGCATGAAAAGTACAACGCACGTTTTAAGACAACACAAAGAAAGTTATTAATACGTAAGTTTAAATACGCCCCAAAATTTTATCTTATGAGCTTGCAAAATATTTGTTTTTGCTAATGTACAAAATTTGCAAAAAATTTCAAGTGAAAGTTAAATGCCGCTGATAATTTTTAGTGAAATAATTACGACAGTTCGTACAATAGATGCTTCGTCCGATTCCAATAAAAGGCAAAAAGACTGAATTTAGAACAGCTCGTAATTTTTTTATCTCTGCTCCAAAATCCATTTCCTTGACTGAACTTAATGTTTGTTTTATACACATATTTGAAAATATCGTGAATGAACCATTCCAAAACAAAACACTGGATCAAGAAGGATTTAAGGACGTCTCGTTCCATTCAGTTGATTTGTGATTGCAAAAATTCTATCGGTATTCTTAATGGGTTGCTTTGCGATCCTGTATATTTTTATATCCTCATTGAACGAGCAGCACAGAATTGGATGTTCAGTAAAGTGATGAGACACACACGCACTGGGCGTGATTCTTTGTTTTTGTCTGTCGTGGCAAGGTCGAATGCGTTCAGATGGATTTTAATTGAAAAATATGGAGCTCTGATATTATTAAGTGATCTAAAACCAAGGAGAAATTGCTTGGGGAGGAAGCGAGCTCCACTTTTTTTGGAGAGATGACGAAGAAAATATAAGAAAAGAATAGCATAATAATAATCTGCAGACGAGAAATATGCGGTTTATGTACAATTTGCTTAACTTCGATCAAGGGATTAGGTTAGAACTGGACTATTTTTCTGGATGCGATTTTAGTTCTGCCAGAAAATTAACAGGGATGAAATTAGCCTGAATATTTTGCAAATGTAATTTTTGATTGGAAATATGCTCCCCGGTTTGTGTATATTTTTGGCCAGCTACAAATTTCTGAAAATAATAATGTAATTTCTTTCCAGAAAAGGTTTATGTACACGTGCTGGGTTTCGAAATTGCAAAAACACAAATCTTTATTAAAATATCGTACAAAAAAAGCTTGTGTACACAAACTTCCCACGTTAATTTCCAGCACGAATAACTTTAATCTCGGCAACATATACATACAAACTTGGACAATATTGCAAAATGCAAACAAAATCGGGTGCGCAACAATTCGAGTTAAACTGGTTACCCATCCAGAGTTCTTCTCGCCACGTGTCCCAAAAAAATTAAGTTGTATGTAAATATACATAAAGTTTACGTAAAGGTTACGACGAGTGATGTTGCAATGCGTATGTAAATTTGTCCAAAATATGTAATTAAGAAAACACGTCATCCTGCAATAGTTGAGCAGTACAGGTCTCATTTTATGTGCGGAATGAGAATGAAAATTCGCATTTATTACATGAAAATATCTGCATAAACTCCACACTTTTATAAATCTGGTATAATCAGGCAGGTATTGATTTCTCGGAGTTAAAGTTGCTATTGCTTGGTATTAAAATTATCCGTAAAAAATTTTAATCAATATGGTAATACTGAAAACTGACTTGTCAATACCACTGGTAGAATCATATATGAATACCGCTTGGTATTAGTTTAATACTGGATTTCTAAGAGTGTATGATTAATTAGGAGTCCGTTTAATTTCTATGCTGCCCAGAACTGCGTACAGCTAAAGATTATAGACCAATTTCATTACAAAATAAATACTGGAACGCTTCTAGTCACAAATTATTTTCGTCTCTTTAAATCCTGTCGTAATGACTTTGCTATTTTGTTTGTCATTCTAAAATAATTCAGCATTTATTCATCGTCACATATTTGCAAGACTGGAACGATATTTTAGCCCTCGTTGGTTGCGTTCATATTATCTCGTGATTCGCTTCAATTCAAACTAATTGAGGACTTGTATTCGGCTGTGGATCGAGGCTGCTGAAACTGAACTGTGAACATTTTTCAGATCAAACTGGATGAAACTGGGCATCCATAATTCCGACGAATTAATAACGATGATTTTGCAGAGGAGGATTGTACCAACAAGAAGAATGAACAAGGGAGGAAGTTCGCAGTTTGTTTGGATTTTGCACTTCGTAAGTGCGATTAGTTTTAAAGGTGGGATTTCCTTTGATACGGTGTCTCGTAAAACGGGAGGCAGAATATTTAAATTGCTTGAATCGAGATGCGAAAAGTCACACGTTTTAAAATTAATACGGGAAAAAATATATGCGAACTTTAAAAAAATGCAAATCGGATAGATCACATACATTGATTTAGATTTAGACCTGCTTCTCTAAATAGCTGCACTTTTTTCTAGTGCGTATCATTATCTTGTAAATTATTACAGCATTTTGTCATGTAAAATATCCCTGAGCCTCCCACTTTAGCTCAGACTCGGGCTGATTAGCACTTTCCCTCATAATTCTGCACTTACTTATTATTCCTCGAGATGAAGAATCGCAGGGGAGTCATGTCCTGTCGATGGTGATTATTTGCACGTTGGTCAGAGATCAGGCTTCCTCGAGCTACTGTTACAATTCTAATTGTTCTGCATAATAATGAGAACGACGACCAAAATAAAGCACGAACGAACTGAATGCGAAATTAGTTGCTAAATGGAATTTGCAGTAAGTTGAGTTTAGCTACTGCTGGGATGATCCGGTATTTAGCCGAGGACGAGACGCGAGCAGAGCTCAGTCTGACTTGGACGCTTGATCAGCAAACTTGAAAGCTTGTGAACCCATCCGCAAATAAAAGTGCGAATTTGTATACTTGCAAAATATTCCCCTACGAAGTTCTACGAAGGGACAAATTAGATAATCAAATTTGTTTAAAAAACAGAAAATAGAATGGAAACTGTGCTTCCCATCGTGATTCCGGAGCAAGTGTCCCCACCACGGGGGAGAAAACAGGCCGTGACGAAATCCCCCTCATTCCTCACCACCACCTTCGCAGGTCACACCATGTTCGGAGGAAACACTGCGGAAATCATTTCCAATGGAATCAGAAGCAATAGAACGTGTACTATTCAGATCTGTGAGTGATTTATTTGAGAAAACAGAACAACATAATCAATGTGTTGTAAAAAAGAAGTCGAAAATTTTGCGATTTGTTTTACTGAAGATTTCTTTCCTAATTTTTTCAGCAAATCATTTAAGCGTTCCGTTAACGCTTCCACATTTCTACTGTTTCGACGGAGGTTTGTACTACCCACTCCCAGCAGTTATCCAACCCGGTACGAGGGAGGCGTGCGTTTTCTCCAAAAATCCGTGAGTGCTAATTGAGATTTTTCTTGGAAATATATTCCAATATTTCCGAAAAATTTCTTACTCATCTTTTTTACAATCGTATCTACAGATCCTCTCCCCACGGCGTTATTGGCGTGCTGACCTACCAAATCGGTGACTCTCCGAGGCGCGTCGCGGTCATGTTTTCCGTCGCGTACAACCAACTACAATACCGAAACCACTTCGGAACCGCGATCGTGACGGGTTTCGACTTGGAGAACTCGGCCCTTTTCACCCACTCGGAGGACGAAGAGGAGGACGAGGTCACGCTCCTTTTCGACAGGATGTACCAGGACGCCGACTTTTACCAGCGGGGAGGTCGTGCCCACAGTTTGGCCAATGACGTCGTCCCCATGTGGACGACGGATGGTGCTTATCAAATCAGAGGGACGATGAGCGACAGGGGCAAAGCGATCGTTAAGCTTAATATATCTTTGACGTAAAGTCACCATTTTTTCGAATGACTGAATCATAATTTACCCACGTTTCCGTTAATCTCATTAGTTAAGTTTGCATTTATTGTAAGGTTACTTTTGTAACTGCATTTTGCACTTTTGCGAAACGACTCACAAATCCTTACTTACTATTTTATCTATTATTGATTTGATGATTTTATTCCGCAATTCTTGGCCAATATTTGGCCGAGAATAACAATTAAGTTTTAACTTTGCAGACAAATCAACAAATTATATTTTTATGGACTAATTAATTTTAGCTAATTAAAGGATGTTATTTAATTAATAAAAAAGATATCTTAAGTACAAACATTTTTAATTTATTATTTTTTTGCATATTACGGTTTGTTTTATTTATTTCACAAATTATTCTTTTACGAAGGAAATTATTCGTAAAAAGAAGCTTATGTAACGCAATTTCTGAAAATGTGAAACAACCCTTAAACGTTAACGCTCGCATTGAAATTAATTGAATTTCCTTCCATTACGCTTTCGATATGTTTTGAATAATTTAATTCCCAATTTCTTTCTCTAAAATACGATTTGTGACTTTATTGCTTATCAAAAATTGCAAAATCGGAATTACCATTCAAAATTCGCTTTTCCTATAAATGCATTTTCCCAACGTGATAAAATGCAAAGTAGTTAAATTATCCCACTCAATATGACAATCAGATTTATTCAGACTTCAATATGTAATATGCAAATATTTTTATTCAAATATTTATTCATTTACAATTACGGTAACAAAAATTTATCGAGTAGATATGTTTCCTGGGTTTGAACTCAAACCATCACCCGTGTAAAAATTTTATGGTGCACTATCGCGTCATGACCTCAAAATCGCATCCAGATAATCCAGTTCGAACCCCTTGAGTGCAGTTGCATCTTATGCAAATTGCAACTCAAACGGTAAATTTTCTCTTCTGCAGATGAATTATTATTCTGTTCTATTCTTACTTTACATATGTTTTCGCCGTCATCTCTCAAAAAAAGTGGACCTCACTTCCTCATAAAGTAATTTCTCCTTGCTTTTTTAAATCTCTTAATCAAAGCTCCATATTTTTCAATTAAAATCCATCTGAACTCATTCGACCTTGATTCGACAGACGAAAACAAACAATCACGACCAGACCGTGTGTCACCATTATTTTTGCTTAACTGAACATCTAATTCTTTGCTGCTCGTTCAATGGGGATACAAAAATATACATACAGGATCATAAAGCAACCCATTAAGAACCGAGTTTTGCATGCAACCACGAGTAAAATAAATGAAACGAGATGCGAAAACAGTGGAGATTTCTGGAATTTGTAGTCGTTTAGCTTGTAATAGTTCAATCGCTATGTTTCGAAATGTGTGTATAAAATACTATAAAACATACATTACGTTTAGTCAAGGAAATGCATTTTGCAACAGAAATCACGTCAAAAATGTAAAAGATTCAATCTGAGAGGTAGTGTTGCCGGTGAATTTAAAATAAGTTGTTGGCCTTAAATACACTATAAATTGTCACCAACTTGCGAAAAATTTAATCTTTAAGCATTCTTGGACTCCCAGATAAGTTTGGTACAAGTTTCAAATAACTACAAAAATTCTACCTTTTTAATTTAAAATCGAGTGTTTCAACTTATATATAAATAACTGTCTTCATGTTATTTGTCTTGATGCTTATCGTGCGTCGTGCTTATCATCCATGCATACCCTATCAAATATAAGTGAAATGACGACATGATAATATATACTTTCGACAGTGAGAGCTGACAGTGTTTTTATTATCCCACATTTTGGACAAATTTCGACTTTACAACATCATTCATCATCTCAAGCCTTACATAAACTACAACTTAATATTTATTGCCGCGTGACTAGTAGAAATTTGGATAATAAATTCAACTAAAATTATTGCGAAGTAGTTTCAATTTCAACTGCAATTTTGTTTGTAATTTATGCACAAGTTTTGTGTCGACGTAAATATTTGAGAAAACATAATTGCAACAACTATAATATGTATAATAGGTTGCCAACCTAAGGTTGGGTGATAAACTGGCACTAATTGATAAATCATAAATCTTTTTCTTAGATGAGGCCATAGTTACTATATGGAAAAAAATCATCTAAGTAAGCATTCACTACAGTTTTGAAAAGCTTAATTTTTTCAGATCTCCGTCGATTTCCATCTGATTTTAATGAAATTAGTGTCCAGAGTTAATTATGGCAAATTAGAATTGAACTACCGAACGGGAGGCTAAAATGTTGACCTGTTTCTGAGATATGCAGCAAAAACACCATCAAAAATGTGTTTTTGGGAAATTAGAAAAAAATGAAGACATGTATGCTAAATGTAAATGGGAAAAAAGTTGATAAATATTTTTTAGAAAAATACAAAATTAAAACACCCAAAATCGGTTTAAAACTGAGAAAGTTTTGATGGTGGTCAAATATCACCTCTCCCACCACCAAGTTTAGTTGCTAAGGCCCGCCGATCACCCAGCAAAGTGATTATCAAGAGTTGAAAGCCCTTTATAAGATCGTTACGTCCGTCTGTCTGTTAGTCCGATAACTTCTGAACGAAAGGACTTGAAATTTTGAACGTAAACTCCTAACGTCAATAGACAGGACGAGTTCATAGATGGACACTGTAGATCACACCCTTCAATGTCAAAAGGTCATGAAATGTCATTCAAAGGTCAAATTGCATTGTCAAAAGCACGCTTAACGGATTTTTAACGCTGAATATGACCCTGCGACACCCCAACAACCGAGTAGAGGAGGAATCAATTGAATTAAATTTCTTTTAAATGACACCCTACATGCAAATTAAGGCTCAACTTAATATTTAAGTTTAGACCTCACCCCCTAGCGCTGTGGGGGGTGGTCCGATTGACCCCATTATCTAACCCAACTGAGAACTAAAAACTAGAAGCACAATGACGAAAACTTTGATTATATTGAGTCATTCTGGAGATATTATGCCCACGGGCGAACAAAACTATCACAATAAGCACCTAATGCTACTTAATAAATTGCTTTTTAATTCGATTAAAAACTTCGAAATAAACTAAACCCTAAAAAGGAAAGCTTAGATGAGACAAGGAAGTGCGATAAAAAGTATTTAATAAATTTTTTCTCCTGTGAATGATATAGAATTTTAAGATTTCCAGCATCAGCGCCTCATTTCATTCAATACATTATACTATAACTATCAAATTTTAAATATAATTCCGATACATAGTAAAATCATTTAATAACTGTTCCTGTCGCTAAAAATGATGAATTCTTATAAATGTGATCAGAAATTTGATACTGCTCTATTCAATTTAATTACATATCATATATGTACATGGTATTGAATGGAATGGGGCGCTGATGTTGGAAATATTAAAATTCTATATCATTCACAGGAGAAAAAATTTATTAAATACTTTTTATCGCACTTCCTTGTCTCATCTAAGCTTTCCTTTTTAGGGTTTAGTTTATGGTTATAAAATATTTGTATGATATTTGCAATACAATTTGAATTTGCAATTGAAAATGAACAATTTGATGCATTTTAGTCGTGGGTACGAATAAAATGAAGGGAACAAGATGTGCAGATTTCTTGAATCTTTCCTCATCCAGTGTTTCGACTTGGGATGATATTTCGAAATGTGGACATACATAAAACAAACATTACGTTAAGTTAGTTTTATGCACGAGTGTCACCATCACAGACGATCTGCATATTATGCACATACTTCATTGAGATTCATGTTACATTTATTTATTAGCAAACAAAAAACTATGAATAAACACATACACTGTGCTATTTAAACATCACCCACACAATAAATACGATTTACTTACTTATGAAACCTTGAAAAATAAAACAAATTTAAAGAGGTCTCCAATTTGTAAATAAATCTTAATTTCTTAAATCTTTCTTTGTCCAGTGTTTTGACTTGAACGGTATCGTCTGGCTAATTAAGTGCAGAAACCAAATGTAACATTAAGTCCAGGAAATGAACAAAGATTCAAAAATAAGTATATTCTAAAATCTCAATTTTGGTCAAATTTCAAGACATCAAATCAATCTAATGTTTCTTTTTCGTTAAACAAAATCAAAAAGTTTATCATCGGCAGTTAAATAGTTCATTCTATGAAATTCAAAACTAGATGATGTGAGCTTAGTTAAAATGCCAAGATTATTAAAATTATTTATATTAAAAAATGCTCATGAAACCTTGAAAAATGAAACGAACTGAACGAGGTCTGCAGTTTGTAAAATAAATCTGTTAATTTCCTTATCTTTCCTTATCCAGAGTTTTGACTCGTCTGGCTAAAGTTCAGAAATAAATTATTGTTATATTATTAAGCGCAGGAAATGCAGACAAAATCAAAACTTGTAACATGGTATTTTATAGCAATTGTTTGGGATGTTAGCTCCCAACGAGCAAGTGTGTGAAAGTTAGTGTTTCGAAATTTGTGGATGGTTTGTGAAGGTAGAAAAACTGAATGGCAGAGTTTCTGTGCGGATGGCGAGATTGCACAGAAATGTGTATGAGTGGAGTTTCTGTGCGGTGTGATGATGCGGCACAGAAATGGATAGAAATGGATAGTAATGGACGGATTGTGAATGAGGCAACTTGAGACGATAGGAGATTACTAATGTTACTTAATTATTGTATTGTCATAAAACTGTGTAAGTTACATAAGCAAGGTCCCAAAAAGTGGGAAATCTTAGCGAGGAAGTGCAATTACAGCTACTAAATAAATTTAGATTACAGAATTTTTGCATCACCGCTCTCGTTACCATTCATTACTGGAGCCATTAATTAGTCATTTAGAATAATTCCTACCCCTCTAAACGTCTGGTGATTTCACCAGAATAGGAATTAATTGGATATCCAAAATCATAGATTTGCACAGTTCACAATCGTTTAGCCATTATATTTGGAATCGGTTATTTTAGTCAATTTCCCGCTCCTAAACAACGTTTTTGAAATCTCAAGTAGTTCAATAAATGAATTTATGTATGCAAAACAAGATTTACAGTTGACACTGGGTCCAGTAGGAATGATACCGAGAGCGGAACACGACCCGGAACACGTGTTCCAAGGTGATCCAAGCTTGTTCCTTGAGGAACACATGAGGAACACCGAGGAACACATGAGGAACATCGAGGAACACGACCCGGAACACGTGTTCCAAGGTGTTCCAAGGTGTTCCAAGCTTGTTCCTTGAGGAACACATGAGGAACACCGAGGAACACATGAGGAACATCGAGGAACACGACCCGGAACACGTGTTCCAAGGGGTTCCAAGCTTGTTCC